GTGTGTGACGAAAGAAAAAGTACTCAAACTAGTCTAGCCGAACTAAGTAAACTTTTTTATGTGTAACTCCATCGACAAAATTGAAGTTTTTTCCCCATATTGGCCAATATTTCCAAAGTAAATATATTTATACGACTGGCTATTTTATTCATCGATTATTGACTAAAATTGGATCTAAGTTGCAAACTATAAAGATGGTAAAACTTATTTATTGACCTTCATTCGTTCTTATATTTACGATATTTATTTATTTGGAAGGTTTTCAATTGTCTGTCAAATTCATCAATTTTTTTTGCGAGTTTATTCTTTAGGCGGAATGTAGATGGCGCAAAATGGTAACATTGATTACTTTATGGAGGACAAAATTAAAATAAATAATAAATATTTTTTGGTATTTAATACAATATTCAAAGTCAAAATCATTTATTCCAAATAAACCATAAATAGGTACCTTTAAAACGTCAAAATAGAAAAGTAGTCTGTCAGTCTGTTCGAATAATAATGTTAATCGTATTTTGTTAATTAGTCGTTGATATATATGTACTTCATTTTCGATATTTTGTTCGTCTCTAGAAAGTCGTCACAAAAGTATTTCATAGAAAATGCACAGTATTTAGGTAATTTAGTATAATATCCTATGCTAGATTTTAAATTTTATCCTATACGATTTAAAAATATGTATTATATTAAGTACGACCTGAGACAGCTAGTATTTAAGAAAATAATATTAGTTATAAAAATAAACCTTTGAAATATTTACCCCAGTAATTATATGATGCACGTATGTAAGTTACGATAACCAGACAACCAAACACAAGTAATCATCAATAAAAATTAAAGTGAAATATTTGTTCCTAAAATGTTATTTTTGATTGAGAAAAATATTTCTATTAAAATAAATAGTCAGCGGTAATCGAGTAGTGACGCACAGCTAACGAATCCTTCGCGAGCACCCGTGCATAATGAACGGCGATGACAACGTGTTAAAACGAACGCAGACGTAGGGCGACCATAGTAAAATTGATAATTGGATAAATTAGAATTCTCAAGACCAATACTTTGCAGCGAATTTGATATGAAGATACTTTTTAAGCCTAAAAAATTATAAATAGTCTGTATTGTACATCATAAATGATTGTGTAATGCTTATACAAAAACTGATGATGTGTAGAAAATAAAAAAAACAAGTTTGTTTGAAAGGAAATAAACAGAAGCTAGAATGGAACAGTTCGACACCACCATCCAAAAGAAAAGTAGTGTGAACTGAAGCCTTAACGCATCTTGCCCTGTTCCAATTTCGAACTCGTCAATTCTCAAATCCCTTACCCCAAAATTCCGGTAATGTACTTTTCCATGAGCAGCATCGACAGCTTACCGTCAGGGAATAAACAGAACTGATGGCACACTTTCTGTTCAAAAGTAATTAGTAGGTAACATTTATATGGCAGGGTAGAGTTTTTAGTCAGTAAGAGGCTGACACTTCCTCACCTCACCTGCCTCACCCTGAGCGGGAAAAGAGATTTGGTGATTTTGTGCTATCAAAAAAAAGCCGTTTGGGATTGCTAAATTTGAGGATTCGGGGATTTCAAGGTGGAAGGGGCAGGATTGAGATTTTCTGGTCACCTCTGGTCTGTCGAAACTAACACAACCAAAACGTTGCTTCGTGCTATTTTCCTGTAAGGTCGTAGAGTATCAATCTGGTCGAGTCATGGCGCTTCCACACTAAAAAACTTAACACGAATACAAACCGTACATCTTGTAGAATAGTCCATCACAGTATACCTATAGATATATCAAGAAATACTGTTTTTCATTTGTTAAAAAATCAAATAACCAAATAAACATCACAGAAAATATTAAATTCCGAGCGAAGAATACAGAGCGGATATTAATGCAGACAGTCCGAGAAATGTCAGAAGCATGGTCAACCTAACGCACAAAAGTAAAATGAAATAATATTGAACACACGCAGATACGTCATTAATGTGTTTGACATTACCACGTACAGACACCATTTTGATATTTATAAAAGTTTCATTGTCGTCTTACAAGCGTAATTTTATCATTTTCAAGAATTTTAAATATTTGTACGGGGCTTACATTTTTATTCTATTCACATTGCTGTTTTTGCAACATTCCAAAGGTTAGCTGTTAACCTATAACTACGCCTACTTACGTATCCTTCTAGAGGAGGTAAAGGTTGAACCTACACACTGCCAGTACATTCTATTCCCATAATTTCTTTAACATTTTATACCTTAGCATTTAAGTTTAATGTTGTCTACTGTTTCTTTGTTTGAGCCCAAGAAGCTTCTTAAGCTAATACACTTTGAAATTTCTGAAATCACATATATAATTTCACAAAATTCTTTATATAATTGCACGACGGTTTGGGCCTAGGTTCCTCGACAAAGGACATTCCACTGAAATCATTAAGGTACTCCGTATACCGTTGATATATTTTAAAGATCCGTTACTGACATTATTATGAAAGTTGTCGATGGGAATTATAGAGATTATCAAACTTTAAAAAAAGGCTTTTGGGGATTTTGAGGGTTGAGAAGTAGTGAGTCTTTAGTGACTTCACTCAGATGGCAAAACACGATAGGAGCATTGATAAACACTAGTTTTTTTTGAGACAGTGGTAATGTGGTATCATATATTCAGAGAAAATCATGCTAAGATCAGTAACAAAGCAAAATAGAAGGTCCTGTTAACAATTCAAAAATATTTTTATTTATATTTTATAGCGTTCCGAGAAAAACGTTAGTTATTGACATAAATTAGAATCACATTTACATTACAAAATAATATAATACGAGTTTGTGTTTGTTCATGTTTCTTTTACCTGTATATGTAAAATTTTCCTCATTAACTTAGAATAACATAATTACAAGGTATTGCGGTGTAGGTTTGTGTAATATGAATGTACAATTTTTTGTTAAATTTTTCTGTTTGTTGTAAGGTTATATTAAATTATACAATACAGTATTGTATGCCTACGTTTGACATTGTTTGTCAAGTCGTGATGAGAATTCGTTGTTTAAAAACACACCTATGGTACATAAACATTATGTTAAAAAGTTATTTTGTATTAGATTCTGCCAGCGGTTTTGTCAGTACATAATTGAACTAACGACATACTAAACTAAATGTCGTGGTGGCCCGGAGGTTAAGAAGCCCGCTTCTCATGCAGGAGGTTTCAAAACCTGGCAAGTACCAATGTGACTTTTTCCGAGTTATATGTACTTTCTATGATTATTTAGACACCCCTGACATACGGTGAAGATAAACATCGTGAGGAAACCTGGACTTATAATGTCTAATTATAAGTTTGAAATCGCCAACCCGCTTTGAGCAAGCGTGGTGATTAATGTTCAAACCTTCTCCGTGTGAGAAGAGGCCTTTGCTCAGCAGTGGGCACTTATAGGCTGATGATGATGATGATGATGAATTGAACTAACTGTTTGTAAAAGAAATCTGTATGTGAAACTGATTTAAAAAGAGTAATCATGGAGTTTCTTGCTCGTTCTTCTCCATCGGAATCTACACTTTGGAACGAGCAAATAGCTTCACTAAGAAGACTGACCGACAGACTGACACTATATCTTCAAAATTTTGTTTGATGTTCAAAAGTGCCTGTAAGGGTCTAATTGAAATAAATGATTTTTGACTTTGACTTTGACAGTATTCGTAGTAAAAACTAGCATATGTATTATTCTAGTCTAGAATCTGTCTGTGTTCCAAATTTACTACAAACTTATGCGTTTATAATACTCATTTTATTATAAGTAGGATTTGAAAATAGTAAAAATTAATCTTTAAGAAGTTAACGTTAACGCAAAGCAAATCTATACTAGGTAGGCACGTAACATCATACTTATGGTGAGGTGTGTAATTTGAAATTATAAGTCCATAGGATTCCTAACGACGTTTTCCTTTACCGTATATCAGTGGTATCTAAACAATCATAAATATAATAATTGTATAACTCAGGAAAGGGATGGTGAGATAGCCTTAGCCTCCGAGTTACCGCGACGTTAAGTAAGATTTGAGAATAGTAAAACCGAATCTTTAAGGAATTGTAACACGCTAACGTCAATCAAATCGTCAGTAGGAAATTTGGACTAATTTTCTTAAAAGTGAGTGCGAAAACCAGATTCATACAAACACAGTCTGTTTAAAAAAATTACCTAGTCACTAAATGAGACATTATACAACCTCATTGTAGCGATATCGACCATACACCAAGCAGCAACAGCACCAATCTCTCCTGAGTAAATTAAATTCTCAACACAATTAAGTTTAGTTTCATACAAAATGAATCAGTTAAGTTAAAACATTTTTTTATGTGATAGGTCGGCAAACTAGCACACGGATTACCTGATGGTAAGCAATCAGCGCCGCCTACGAACACCCGCAACAACAGAGAAGTTACAAGTGCCTAACCGACCTTTTGGGGATTAGGGATTTGGAGATTTATGGATAGGGGAGGGGAAGGATTGGGCCTCCGGTAACCTCACGCATACGGCGAAACATAACGGTGTAGTTGTTTCACGCTGGTTTTTTATGAGGCCGTGGTATCACTCCGCTCGAGGTCTCACACACACACACAAATGACCTAGTCACTAAATCAGACACTATAAAATAACCTTATGATATAAAATAACCTTCTAATATTAAAGGAGAGGTCACATAACGACGGGACGCAAGTCCTTGGATATAATTGTGTCACACTCATTACTTCCACTCAGATAAATCTAAGTAGTACTTTAAAATAAATGTTCATGTTATAAACAAGAAGAAATAGTATCTAAGCGTATTTATATAAATAATAAAATGTGATTAATATTATAAATTTGAAATTGTGTATTTCTGCTTATTTTAGGTCTCGATAGAGTGATTCTATGGTATGAGTTTGTGCCTTTTTTTTGACAGGAAAAATCGTCTAATGACTTCTCCCGCCCAGGGTAAGGCGAGAGAGATGCCTGAGATCTGTGATGGTCTATTGGCTCTTTGAGGCGCGCGCGGAACGCTACGCGTCATACGCTCGGGTCTGGTTCTGGTCGGGCGGCGAGCTGCCCTTACTCGCCGTCCGCAGACTTGCGCTTACGGTGGCCGGAGATCATATTTTCTCGATCCCCGACGCCCAGAATGTCTCCTACTACGGCGGCTGGGGCGTGAGGAGGATAGTTCCCTCACGCGCTCCGCCCCCTCCTTTGCAAGCATCATTGAAGGTTTATTTTTATGTAATAGGAGATACCTAAATATATTTTGTAAAAGCACCTGCGACACAGGAAAATATCATAAAAAATGTGTTTAAAAAATAACTAGCTAAACACCGGTTTTTTTATAATTGATTTTTTATACGTGACAATTTTTAAATCATATGGTATGTACTTTTCATTATGAAGGTTACCTAGTATTTTTTTAGGCGTATATCGTAAACATACTGAAAATAACGAAATCATTTAACTCTCATTTACATAACTCCCAGCTAATCGATTGACTCGTTCGAAAATAAAATTTCATTGTAATCGAGTGAACCGATTTATATAACTCGATGTGGTCCAATCGATTTGCAAGTCACGGGATATGAAACGTGATTGGGAATAATTTGTCCCAACACTGTCCTTCCTAGGTGCGCCATTGTACACAAGGATTATTTTTATTAGGATTATGACGGTGACTCTATTTACATATTTAAGCCATTAAATAATTTATAATGATAGTATTTTATGAGTTATTTTGCTTTTTCTTTAACAACAGAGGTTTTTATTGATCAAGTTTTGAAAGTGATATTTTTTTTTTGTTTATTTAAAGAGCGTAGGCTTTTCTGCGTACAAGCATACGAATTGATATACACATCACTCATATTCAATAAAATAAAACAATCTGTGGATCGTAATGAACCCATGATACGTAGCGCAGAAGCCGCTTGCCTTACCACTGCCTACCTTTGGTATCCTATTTTGGTATGTTTTATCCTGGAAGCTAATGTAGATACATGTTAGATAGCTTGAACTGATGAATAAAATTTATGTATCACCACTTTAATTTTCATTTAACAAGATCTTTTTAGAATTAATAGTTATTATTAAAGTTGTAGCTACTTAAAAATCCTGTTGACGTTACTGTTGATCAATGAAAAATAATTCTGTATTCAAATCGTGATATTTTCCTACGAATCTATAGGTATATATAAAAGAAAGTCGTGTTAGTTACTCCACTTATAACTTAAGAGTAAGTAAAGTCAACTGAAGATCTTTGGGGAATGTCTGTTCGAGTGTGCAGGTCGTTTATAGAGACTATTGCGCTGCACTTAACTTTCATTTTTAATAAAAGTGTAGATCAAGGGGTTTCCCCGGATTTAATGAAACATAGTAAAGTAGTTCCATTATTTAAATCAGGTGATAGTACAGAACCTAATAACTATAGACCGGTCTCTATTTTGCCAGTGCTCAGTAAAGTGTTCGAAAGGTTGATGCTTGCTCAAATACTGCGTCATTTTAACACGAATTGTATTTTCCATGACCATCAATACGGGTTCACCAAAGGACGTTGCACTACGGACGCAAGAGTATCACTTATAAAACAAGTATTCAACTCGTGGGAAAAAGCACAGGATGCCATCGGAATATTTTGCGACCTTTCAAAGGCATTCGACTGTGTTGAGCACGAGACGCTGTTACTGAAGCTGGAACACTACGGCATTCGGGGGTATCCCTAGATTTATTTATTTATTTAAACTTCATGCACAATGGGTACATCGGCGGACTTAATGCCTAAGGCATTTTCTACCAGTCAAACCTTGGGTGATGCAGAGATGAGCCAATGGTCGGTGCAAGAAGCAAGCAAACGGCTTAACTTTAAATCTGATAAGACATACGAGATAGATATATGTGCGTATTATTAACGTACAAGTTACTATATCCCTAATATATACCTACATTCATACTCAAATTATATTATATAATAATAAATAACTTCTACATATATATACTATATACATACATAAGTATACTACATACATACATATACTAATACTTATTAATAATAATGTATGGTGGTCACGATTTAGCCAAACCTTTCAATAAAAGCTCACGAACCTTTTGTTTAAAAGTCAAGCGACTAGACACCAGACTAGACCACTAGACTAGACTAGATTTATTGAAATCACACCTTCAAGAAAGAAAAATTAAAGTACAAGTTAACAAAGTTAACTCACTGGGTGCTAGCGTATTTATGGGCGTACCGCAGGGCTCAATATTAGGTCCTTTTTTATTTTTAGTTTATGTAAATGACCTGCCCCATATGTTCCAAAATGAACGCAAATGAACACCCATGCCCCAGAGCCGGAGCCTATGAATCAAGTCCCTAAAATAACACAAGAAATAATAAAATATAACACTTGTGTATATACTGACTCAATAGGCATAGGTATTGGATCTCTTATGTCAAACAGCCTACATCATAATTGTGGTATAACTAACTACTGTTACCACAACATAAAATTTTGTGAGTTGATCAACAAAATAGCCCAGGGACATATCACAAGACATCAGCCTCTTGTTTTACTGATGGGTGATAGTACAGGTGTTAGAAAAAAGGACATTCTTGATGGTATCAACACCTTATTAAAGCTGGATTTGGGAAAGATAGTTTTATGTGCTTTCCCATATTCAGACACTCTGTCAGTGTCTGAAAATCAAAGAATAAATAGCATAAACAATATGATATTTAATTTGACTTGTCATAGTGACAATTTGTTATTTTTTGATACTAACAAATTTGTTAGTGGTTTTAAATTGACTAGGAAATCTTTGTCCATTCCTAGAAAATGTAAAGTTTTACTTGCTAGCCTTCTAGCAAATATTATTAACTTAGCATGTAGTTTAAGTGACGATACTGCATTATTTAGATACTCTAATAATGTAGTGATAGACTGTACATATAATAGTACGATGGAGACTCAACATTTAGTGACAAATGTGGGTAGCACTCCAGATAACTTTTTAAATTAAATTTTGAGACAACAGAAGAAAACCTTTTAAATTCTAATGCTACAAGTTATCAAAAGGTATCTTCTCGCAATAAATTATATTCTAAAAACAAACGAGGAAATTTTACACTCCTCAGTCAAAATATTCAGGGCATTTCATCCAAGTTACTAGAATTGGAATTATTTTTAGAAAAATTTAAATTTGACATAGTTTGTATAACAGAGCATTGGATGAAGAAGTATCAGGTAGAATTTATGAGTTTTAAAAATTATTGTGTTGGTAGTTTCTTTAGCCGTCAAGCAATGATTCATGGTGGTAGTTTAATATTATTAAAAAACTCAATTAAATATAAAAAAAGACAAGATATTACTTCACTTTCCATTGAGCATACAATTGAATTGTCCTGTGTGGAGCTGGATAGGCATGTTGTAATATGCGTTTATAGACCTTCTAACTTACAGAACTTAAACATTTTTAACTCAGTTATGGAACAAGTTTTGCAGAAAGCGTGTTCAAACAGTAAATTCACAATAGTATGTGGCGATTTTAATATTGATCTCTTAGAAAACAATTCTAATTGTGTTAATTTGGTAAGTCTTTTTAAATCTTTTGATTTGTCTAATGTTTTCCTTGAGCCCACCCGAGTAACATCCACCTCGGCTACATGCATAGATAATATATTTTGTAACTGTAATTATTTACATAAGGATATAATAAATACCTTACCATCAGACCACAGTGGGTTAACAATGAACCTTAACAACATCACAAAGGTGCCAAAAAAGGAAATAATGTTTAGGCAAATCACAAATAAAAGGGTTGAGTTATTAAATAACAATTTGAAACATAAATTATGCAGCCCATCACATGATTATGAAGGTCCAAGTGAGATTTATGACAATCTACTGTCCGTAATTAAAACCCAGTTTGATAAAATATTCCCCTTAAAAAGAAAAACTATTGAGTGTAAATTTGTATTCTGTGACTGGGCTACCCCAGGTATTCGTAGAAGTAGGGAAAGGTTATTTGAGCTATATGGTATGAAACCATTTGATACTAGTGAAGCCTTCAGCAAGCATGTGTCCAAATATGCAAAAATATTTAAAACAGTCTGTAAGCAAGCTAAATCACTTTATATTGGCAATAAGATTAAAAATGCTGAAAATAAAACAAAAGCTACGTGGAAGGTAATTAATAACGAGACAGGCAGAAATAAATTGCATAACACGGAATTTAATTTAAATACGAATAATGGACGAGTTAATGCTAATCAAGAAGTTGCCCAAGAATTCGAATTTTTTTTCAAGAATATCCCCATTAAAACTACGAAAGACTTAGAATCATCTCCGGCACTTTCTATTAGTCTTCTTAAAAGAAATGTTAAAGAATGCCGTTCTGGCTTCCGATTTCAGTACACGGACCCGCAATCAGTAATAAAGGCGTTTAAAGACATAAAAGTTAAGTCTACAGAGGATCTATGGGGAATGTCTGTTGTGGTGTGTGGGTCTTTTATAGAAGCTATAGCGCCTTACTTAGCTGTAATTTTTAATAAAAGTGTAGATCAGGGTGTTTTTCCAAATTTGATGAAACTTAGCAAGGTAGTTCCGTTGTTTAAATCTGGCGATGACAATGATCCCAATAATTATAGGCCGGTATCAATTTTACCAGTGCTTAGTAAGGTGTTTGAAAAGCTAATGCTTTCTCAGATGCTACGACACTTTAACATAAATTCCATCTTTCATGACCAACAATATGGGTTTACCAAGGGTCGATGCACAACTGACGCCGGTGTAGCTCTACTTAAGCATGTTTTTGCCTCATGGGAAAAGTCAAACGACGCTATTGGGATTTTTTGTGACCTGTCTAAAGCTTTTGATTGCGTTGAACACACGACACTGTTGCTGAAGTTGGAACACTATGGCATTCGAGGGGTATCTCTCAATTTATTAAAATCATACCTGCAGGATAGGCAGTTCAAAGTACAAGTAAATAAAGTGAACTCCCAGGGTACTAGCATATCTATGGGCGTACCACAGGGCTCGATATTAGGTCCTTTCCTGTTTTTAGTGTACATAAATGATTTACCTCATTTATTTCAACGTGAACCGGGAATGGTATTATTTGCTGATGACACATCGTTGATTTTTAAAATAAATAGACGGACAGATAATTATGACGACGTAAATAATGCTATAACGAAGGTTCATAATTGGTTTACAATTAATAATTTAGTC